TGTTAATTTTACGTGATTTTAACCACAAAATTGCGCCAAAAGGGGGTGTGGCCAAAATTGCGGCGCGCTTCACACGCCATTTTATTTCTCCACCTCTCCATATCCAAAACCCTGGATCCGCCCCTGCTATATCTCACATAGGCGAGGCCAAAACTATAAATACTGCATGTAGTTACATTGCATGTAAATTGTATTACTTGTAGATTGTTGTTGTTGTTTGTTAGTGCTTTACTTTTCTGGTAAAGAGCAAAACTTTCATGGTTTTCATGAGTTAGCATTTAAACAGTACCATTTTAAAAATTGTGCCTGTTTTATAAATTTATTTCTTCTGTGACAAACTTCAAAGTATATGCATTTCTTTTCTGTTACATTGAAAATTAAAGCTCTCCAAAATTTTTGAATGCCATTGACAATGTAGTACTAACTTTGCTAATTTGCAAAAGTTTTTTTTCAGTGTGAAAAAATCATTTTCATAAGTCTGCAAAAGTTTTACTTGGTGCTGGAAAGTAGAACACTAGGTATATATCAGTGGTAGTAGCTGAGAATTTTAAAAACACTGGGTGGTACATATATTTATCAATAATTTTAACATTAAAGGGAGACTTGCACGCGAAAATGAAATTTGAGATTATTGCTTATTTTTAATGTAAACTACCCAAATAGACTATTCCTAGTTGCATTCTTGCATTGCACTTGCTTTGGGAAAGTTAGAGCTTGCTAAAGTTGCTGGTGGCCATTGCTTCCTGTTAGGGGGTGCGGTATGACAAGGGGAACCAACATGAGCAACTCCAATGCTTTACATGCAGAAATAAAGAGAAAATAACTTGACAAAAGAGGGATTATTCAGTGAAGGTTCACTCTAATACTTATAAAGACAAGGTAAGCATAGAAATTTTTTCAAAGAATGCTAAAATCAGAGAGAAATAGACTATGACAAGTCCAGAAGCTTCTCTAAATGTAATGGCATTCCTACTGTGCTGCAACATCAGTCAGAACTACTCTCTACAGCTGTGGACAAAGCAGCTGCTTTCAATAACTACTTTCACTCCGTATTTAACTCATCCAACACAGACATAGATGTATCTGACTTACCTTTCCCAGCAGGGGCAAATCTAGGATTGAATTTTGGGGGGGGTCCCATAATGATGTGGGTGGGGTAATTAGTGGGTGTGGTCAACCATGCCTTCAGGATTTCAATCAGGGTTGCCAGATCATAAACAAAGTTTATGTTTCATAAACTTTTCAAGTGTTGCATAAACTTTTCATAAACCAGACAATTTTCATAAACTTTTCAGAAACTTTTAGTAAAATACATAAAGATTGCATAAACATAACATTTTCACATGCAAAACTCAATTTTATAATTCTACATTTGCTTAAATGCTTGCAAATGCATGCCTTGGCTAATGGAGGAGGGGCTCAACTTGCATATGTTTATTGGGAGGGGCTCAACTTGCAAGCAACACTTACAAGTTGCAACTCAACACTGCATCTTGTACCTAGAGAGCTGATAATGTGCTACAGCTGCTACTATACTGCAGTGTGCATATCAACAAAGAATGACATCTAATATCTTGTATTTCAACAATGATAATGGTGACTCCTCAGATACTGGTTCTGAACCATAAGCAATGCATTATGCAATGTTATGCAAGTTAAATTTATCTTATCATTAAGATTTACAATAGTATACTAAAAATATACTGACATTTACTGAAGTTGGGTGACATAAACTTAAAGTTCCTAAACATAAACTTTTTGAGGGAAGGTCATCAACTTTTGGCCAAACCTATCCGGCAACCCTGATTTCAATTGGGAGGTCAAAATTTTGAAGATTAGGCCTCTTAAAATGAGCTCCTTTGTGGTTTACAGACTGCTTACACAGTCAATTACTCAGCTGTTTTACAATTTACATAGATAAAACCAGGAGCCCATCCCTTTTTTCATGGGCTCCTGATAAAACTAATTTTATACTTGACCAGAAAAATTTTTGGGGGGCCTGGCCTGGGGGCCCCCAGGCCCCCCTAGATCCGCCCCTGTTTCCCAGACAAGTCAATCTGTTCTATCCCTATAACTGTGGAGGACACTTTTGCTGTACTTTCCACACTGAACATATCTAAGTCAATGGATGGTGATGGCATCCCCCCTATATTACTCCAGAAGTGTGCTGCTGCTCTGGTAGAACCTGTTCACTATCTCTTCACTCAGTGTCTCTCGAGTGTCTCTAGGCTCAATCCTACTTACCCAGAGACTGGCGTACCCACGACATCACTCCTATTCTTAAATCAAAGAATAATGATTCTGTTTTTAACTATCGCCCCATCTCTCTTCCATCATGTCTATCAAAAGCTCTTGAGAGGTTAGTCTTCATTGACAAGATCAGTAACTTTGTATTCCACAACATCATTTTACCTCACCAATTTGGCTTTGTACGCCAGCGCTCTGCTGTGCAACAGCTCCTACAGTACCTAGACTTCCTTCATTCTTCCCTCGATGGCTGCCAACAGGTTGATTCAATCTACTTGGACATCCGCAAGGCTTTTGACTCCATTTCTCACCACAAGTTATTGAAGAAACTGTGGACCTCTGGCATCACAGGTAAGCTGGGGCATTTCTTTCAATGCTATCTCACAGACAGAATGCAGCATGTGATTGTCGATGGGGTGGCCTCTCAATGGCTCCGGGTAACCTCTGGGATACCCCGAGGGAGTATATCCTGGGCCACTCCTCTTCATAATTTACATCAACAATCTTCCTTCTGTTCTAAACTCTGCAGTCCCATGTAGCTCTTCGCAGATGATACCAAATGCCTCAGGACAATTGAGTCTGCTAGTGATGCTATGGCCATTCAAGTGGACTTGGACTGTCTA